TCATATTATAACTGCAATTCACAGAATTCTGAAAATAATAATTTCATATTTCAACTGTATTTTATTTGCTCATTAGTTTCTTGTTTAACGCTGCACTTAACAGTGACATGATGGAGGTCTGTAAATAATTCCGGACAAGACTGACATCATGAACATCGAACTACGCCATTGGGTTACGATGACGTGTGTCAACCAGGTCAGCGAACCTCAATACCGATCCACTTAAACCAAGCATAGGTTGCAGGAGATCAGGTCGTGAAAGGACCAACCAATATAGATTTTTAGCACTCAGGTTCCTGATCATTATTTAAACGGTGCACTACCAACGACAATGCAACAGATGTATACTTGTTAACTGCAACACATTCAATACATGGTGCAGGGCCACATGGTGTTGACAGTGACTAACAGCATGACGGTCTTTGCTGACATGGATATTGATCGTATATGTAATGTAGAGAAACTACATAATATATCTCCCCTGGAAAGCATATTCATATATTACCGGCAACAGTTGACTTAATCCTGATCCGCGAGTGGTTGTGAAACAAAACTGATCATTTTCGAAAACGGTTGTTTTTTTACTTTAAGTCATCGGAACATCTGTACTTCTACACATCAGTCGCAATTCAGAATGACCAAACTGTATTGGTTTGGTTAGTTTACAGGCCACCGTCTATTGGCATTACTTTTACATGTTTTAGTCCAGCTTTTTCACTCTAACAAACTAGGAACAATTAGGAAATTAGCAATATTTGCCAAAATAATAATGTCTCATTTTAAGCAACGCCACCACAAAAGATAAACAATAAGGCATGAGTGAAACATTGTTCTGTTAACTGGTTAAATGCATGTTCAGACATAGTTTATTCTTGCAACCATACGATGTGTATATATTACTACTTTGTATTTCATACATGTATGTCACATATATAAGTTGTACATAATGATTTAACGTGTACCTCCAATACCGCAGAACGCGACCGGAGTGTTATGAAGTTCAGTTCAGTTCAGGCAAATTGTCTGAATGGCGAGGGTATAAGTTTAATGCAGAAGATGCTTACCCTTTTCGCGATCACCACTGATAGTCTGTCATCTCTGATATTCTTGTCCAGACTTGGTAATTTACAGACCGCCGTCACATAACTGTAATAGCTTAGTACAAAGTTAAACAACAAATAAGATATAAAAAAAACAAACGGGCACGATCAAAAAAAACAAACGGGCACGATCAAAACTGTACGAGCTATGTGTTCGCGATGACATGAGGGCATCCTGCCCCACCGGTGACACCAGTGACAACCTCGTGCACGGGCAGGTATACTTGAAATGATTTTAAAACATTATGGTAACGAAGACAGTGCAATAACTGGTACAGTTGTGTAGTTGTGGCAAAATCTGAGTCGCACTTAGCGGATTTGCCTATTGTTTAACATACATAATGTTTCGATATGATTAAACCGTGTGTTTAATTTACAATACACGTATCATAAGGTGTATTCAACAACAACAACATGAGAATGATTTTGTGCATAACATAGGCTTGCTGGCCAGCTTGTACAGTTGTATGAATGTTAACAGATTCAGTTGTCGTTGCCTCTGAGCCCCGGAAAGTAAATGCGAGAAACGTCCATCATACCTATTGCACGTTTTCGGTAACAACTGAGACAAATACGTTTCCATTGTATTTATTGAAAATTCCTTTGTATTTATTGAAAAAAAAATTTTGTTAGAGAAATCCTAAATACTTTAAAATGAAATTAGAAAGTGTTGTTTATGCACATTGTAGAATATATCTGGATGAGAAATAGATCGGTATGATAATTTTATGATTTATCCGATAGACCTTGTGAATTGCTCCTGTTCATTCTCGCTCTCATCGGCTGGCATCAAACACACCTTCGACGGGATGTACAATTAACAACATATGATTTATGCGATGAGACGGTATGGGATCGGCTTGTTTTTTGTCACATGCGACACAGATGTTAAGTGCGTCTGTTTAGTGACTGATGACATTGTCGTGTGACGTGTCAGTGATACGTTGATTAATGTCGCAGAAGCCATCTGTTGTCTTGTCAAGGGACATCTGGACGATTCAAACCAGTGATTGATATAATGTGCAACGCCTGGTGTTGCAAGTCGCAATCAAACATGGCAGCGCTAGTGATGAAGGAGAATGACGTTGTTGTCGCATTAACTGCACCTATACTATCAGACCCCCACCCCTGCAATCGTTACCTTGTAATGGTCGATAGTGTTGCAATAAATCCAAACAAACATTACATTGTTTTTAATCAGAGCCTCAGCTTCCTGTCCTGGACAACCGATTTGTAATTTTCGCCACATACTTTGTAATATTCATAGTGAAGTAAAACAAACAAAAACATTACATGTGATCACATAAATCACATACATTACGTGCACATATATAACTGCCTTGATTAAATGTGACAGTTCTTGCTATCAATTATGCTGTGTTGATGAAACACTTACAGGTATCGTGGTGTATAATGTGTTGTTGATTACGATATTATTCATGTCAAACACCTCGTCTGTGATAGCCGCCACGCACCGTCTATATAACCAAGCCAGCTTCAAGGCTCAAGCATCCGACTTCCAGAGACCAGTCAAGGTAAGTCAATGGGTAGACATTTAATTAGAATTCATCCCATTTCATAAACGTCCTATCTTGTTCCCGAAGATGCTTTGATGAAGTTATATTTGTAATTCGGATCGGGTGGTCAGGCTCGCTGACTTGGTTGACACATGTCATCGGTTCCCAGTTGCGCAGATCGATGCTCATGCTGTTGATCACTGGTTTGTCTGGTACAGATTATTTACAGACCGCCGCCATATAGCTGGAATATTGCTGAGTGCGGCGTAGAACTAAACCCACTCACTCATTTTCCATTCAAAACCCATCTCATCAATAGAAAAAAGTTTTCATATCAACCTATTCACTCATGTACGGAAGCGTAGTAGGGCCACGGTGAAAACAATTTTTGGGGTCACTATCTCCTACGTAGGACTTAATATCTCCTACGTAGGACTTAGTATCTCCTACGTAGGACTTAGTATCTCCTACGTAGGACATAGTATCTCCTACGTAGGACATACTATCTCCTACGTAGTACTTAATATCTACTGCGTAGGACTTAGCATCTCCTACGTAGGACTTAGTATCTCCTACGTAGGACTAAGTATCTCCTACGTAGTACTTAACATATCCTTTTTAAGGATGTTTATTAAGTTGAGAAATGTTTGGCTATGCAGGACGTTAGATAGTTGAAATGTGAGTCAGTGAATATTCATGACACTAACGCAGTGTTACTATACAGTGTTATTGTGTGTGTATTACGTTGGGGTGACGTGGACCCTGTTCTAATTGCAGTTATGGAGGTTTGGGTATGGTTATGTTTAATCTATCATACATACATCTATTCACACACAAACACACACACACACAGAGGTGGGTGGGATGGTTGGGGTGAGGTTGTGATATGAAACTCGGGTTATAACACGACCTCCACAAGTTGTTGCTTGTCTTGATGGGGCTAGGTTGGATCGGATGCAACGCTCGTTTGCGGCTTTTTTCGTAATTGTTTACAGGTTGACTTGACTGGGGTGGACACGTGTTGAGTGCGGCGTAAAACAATACGAAATTCAAAAAGGCAATGAATTGTCATTATATTTGTATAAATATAAGGGGATACGTACACATAGACTGCCACCGATAGTCTAAGACACGTCTGTACACGCAGATTATGATTCATGTGCAACGACCTCTGAAATATCCAACGCATAATAGTAAAGTCTAACAAAGTACAACATATAACAGTGAACTAACTGCAACCCGTAATAGTAAACTGAACGCAAGGCAGTTAAGTATAACAGTCGGTCCAACACAGTAATGTGCAACAATTAGTTGAACACATGACTCTAATAGTGAAGGAAACAGTAGACTCTAATAGTAAATTGAAACACACGATTGTAGACTCTTACAGTAAATGAAACACATAACTGTAGACTCTAATAGTGAATGAAACGAATGACTGTAGACTCTCACAGTGACTGAGACAGTGAAACAGGAGATTGTGTGCGTGTCTGGGGATTTAAGTCGACCGTTTCAGATTAATCTATATAAACGTATATCGATCATCCCCTACAGGAAATATTAAGTACTACGTAGGAGATACTAAGTCCTACGTAGGAGATACTAAGTCCTACGTAGGAGATACTATCCTATATACCTGATACCTGATCCTATAAAAATGATAGCCGTTTTACATCTACAGTTTTCAGTAGAGTTCAGTATTTCTTTGCGTAAGAGTGTAAGAATGAGCTTTTTCAGATGGCAAAGTAAATGTCATATCCTGAATCAAACTTCGACTTATATACTGTGACAATATGGTGAACGAGTGAGTTTAGTTTTACGCCGCACTCAGCAATATTCCAGCTATATGGCAGCGGTCTGTAAATAATCGAGTCTGGACCAGACAAACCAGTGATCAACAGCATGAGCATCGATCTGCGCAATTGGGATACGATGACATGTGTCAACCATTTGAAAATTGTGTAATTTTGTAAAAGTTGTTTGGTGTTTAACGCTGCACTCAGCAATATTCCAGCTGTATGGCGGTGGTCTGTAAATAAGCGAGTCTGGACCAGACAATCCAGTAATCAACACCGTGAGCATCGTTTCAAGCAATTGGGATACGATGACATGTGTCAACCAAGTCAGCGAGCCTGACCACCCGATCTCGTAAGCCGCCTCTTATGACAAGTTTGGGTTACTGAAGGTTCATTCTAACCCGGACTTTCACTGGTGTGACAATATGGGAAGAGGCGATTTTCTAGGACGTTGTCATTAATATTAGTATGTTAGATGTGCTGCGGCTTTCTTACGATATGTATCTGTAATTGAATTACTGTGGCATTAGACCATACAAACTCACTCATATTCGTTATCAAGTACAGTAATTGCTATGCACAACGTATTGTTGAATATAACTTGTTCTGTTTCCAGATGAGACTGCTCGTGGTGTTCCTCCTGATGGCTTTGATTGTTCTCCCCACGGAGGGGCTGTTCCGTCGTCGTCGTCGTCGACGAAGATGGCTCCGTATCAGAGGCAGCAGGGTTCTCGCTGGTCTTAGCGTTGCATCGAGATTGGGTCTGATAGGAAAGAGAGGTAAGACGATGGGAATGCTAGCAACTATCCGATCTACATCCTTTTCCATATGTGCTGTATTATCAAATTAGAGAGGGGTATGCGTAATTATAGTGGTTACATGAGGAACACTCCTTCAAGAAGCATCATGCGACGTTTGCTCAAACATGGTTTCATCACAGGTACAACATTTAACGCCTTAGTAAAGCGTTCATAACATTTTACGAAAGATCTCTGCATATGACACGGGCACTCAACCCGTTTGCACACGCGTGTGCAACGAGTGACTGACGCAAATATTGTGCATGTGCATCAGTGAATCTAGGTAAAAGACCAAATGAATGGTGAGATAAAAAACAAATCAAAGCGATGTGAATCAAGTTAATGAGGCTTTACTGACCAGTCTTTGTAAGTGTTGTCCATCCCAGCCATTGAGACCAACCGAAAGTAGCTACGTGGTGAAAGAAGATACGCGTTTATTGCTGCCTGACTGGTCCGACATCTAGCTGGAATATTGCTGGGTGCGGCGTTAAACAACAACCCAAACATCACAGGTCCCTTTACACTGTGCTCACCAATGGTCTATCTGGGCTGGACCCGTGTATAAAGTGGCTGATGTGATACAAGTAGAATATAACACAGCTGATAGTCCAATTGTTTGACTGAATTATACAACATCAGACGTATTTTAGTAATCATAAGTTAAAGAAATGTTTTACTGCTTGTTACGATCATATTCTGCTGTGTAAGAACTGCAGTATTTATTACTGATGAAGTCATTCATGGACTTATGATTCGTGGAATCCTTTACATATTTGCCAGATGTGCAAGAAGACCTTGCCCTTGCTGACTTGAATGAGGATGGGAACATTGACCAATCAGAAGCAGAGAATCTGTTCGACAAACGTGATGTGGAACAAATCCTGCAATTGGCTGATATGGACGGTAAGTAACAAATAAAATATGAGTTTTAAACGTGGAATGTGTAATAATTAATGACCATAGGTGAGTCCACTGTGATTCAAATCTGACAGTCACCTGTGCATGAGAAGTTAAGATTTCATAAAAGGATATTTCTGTTAAGGATATTTCCAATTCTAATTACATCTTGGCGACGTGATAACTTAGTTGTGGATGATTCCTTGTTATAGTCAGCTTTTTCACTTCAGCTCCATAACATATCTTGCAAGGTTGTGGCAGATGGTACATATGCCTGTCATATTTCATTTAGTACTCATTATTCCCTCACCTGTTTCAGGAGATTCAGTTGTCAGTCATGATGAATTCATCCGAGGAGTGGAAGAGCTTTTCTCTCTGGGTGGGTGTTTTCTTGTATTTTTTCGAAATTAATCGCAACATGCCATGTTATTTGTAATGATGGCATGCGTTCCATTTTACTCTTAATCATGGATTGTGGTTTTTCTTTTGCAGATGCTGAGTAGATACTCTCGATACAAGTACAGAAAGAAGAGACAACCTTTCTAATTTCTATACTGATTCTTGAAAATAAATCACTGCAGAACAAGAACGTTTTACAGTTGTTGTCAACTAACCGAACAGTCCCGTGCAGTTTACTTTATTTGATATTCACAGCCCGTGAAGATCCGGGTCAGAATTAATTCTCAGCAACTCATCCTTGTCGTAAGAGGCGACTAACGGGATCGGGTTATCAGATTCGCTGACCTGAGGGCCTAGATTTTCGAAGCTCTCTTAGCGAAACACAACTCTATTGCTTAATCAGACCCATTTATCTCTGCCTTGATCACCAGGTATATAAGTAGATTAGAATTAGTGTTCCTCTGAACGTACACACGTGTGCCTATTTTAGCAATGCGACATAAATAAAAAAAACCCCACACAATATAGCTACGAAACACGGTCATGCCCCTCCTTTCCCCCAAACAACTTTCCAACAACAACAAAAACAAACATAAAAACGCATGAATTAACTAGATTGCATAAACCTATGTCACGTACACGTACAGTACACGAACGTGACCGTCAGAGTGTTGTCATCATCAACACATTGTTTAAAGGGAACACTTTGCCTTCAAGTCCGGTTGGATAGGGTATTAACCTCGCTCTTCCGGTGTACCTTTTGAAAGCGGACTACTTTACCGACAATGTACATCCGGCGGTGTCATTATAATGATGATATATACAACATTACCATGATTATCGTTACATTTAAATCAACAGAGAGAAATCAAATACTCCCCAGCAGGATCAACAGCACATTTGACTGGTAACACACTAATTTTAGTCATCGCAGGCGGCAAGATAAACTACACAGTTTCCCAATGTCATAAGTAAAACTGAATCTACAACCTCATAAAAATGGTGCTTAGAAAAGCACATTAAACTGTTTAGATGGCTTCATGTGAGTGTTCAGTCAGAAAATTGACAACACCGAATTTGAGCACTAACTGCAGGTTTAATTGTAGCAAAAGTAAAGTTCACTAAAATCACTGTAAAATAAGGTGAAATAAGTATGGCTGCCGGGATCATTACAACAGACACACAACACAGTTCATATTCCATTAAAATTGAACACACTAGTAAGGTCCACATGGCTGGGTAACTCAGTATCTGGTGTAACCGCCTTGCACTTGGATAACATTTTCTACACGCCGTCGTATGCTGGCCACCAGACGTCTGATTCTCTGTTGGGGGATTTGCTGCCACTCATCATGCATTGCATGGGTCAATTCGAGAAGGTTCCGAACTGGAGGATACCTTACTCTCACCCTACGTCCCAAAATGTCACACAAATGCTCAATAGGATTCATGTCTGGACTTCTGGCTGGCCATGGTAGTGTCTCAATGGCGTTGTGTTGGAGATGCTGAACAACAGCTCGAGAACGATGTGGTTTGGCATTATCGTCCATGAAGACTGGACGTGTGGCGAGAGCATGGTTATCGAAATGAGGCACTACAGCACCGTACAGGATCGAGTTCTGGTACCTCTGTCCATTCAATGTCCCAGGAACTGTGATAAGGTCAAGTTTACAGTCATAGGAACAACACATCTACACCATGACGGATCCAACCCCAAATGGAACTTCAGCTTCCATATCATATGCTGTGCCTCTCTGCCTCCAAACACGTGCCCTCCCGTCTGCATGATGCAACAAAAATCGGCTTTCAACGGACCTGTGGATCCTTCACCATGTCCTCAGGTTCCAGCGAGCACGTAATTGACACCAGGCTAAACGGGCATGACGGTTCTGATTTGTGAGGAGTGGACGTCTGATTGGTCGTCTTGCTCTCAATCCTGCAGAATGTAGGCGTCGTCTGTTGTATGGATGCCATCCATGTCGCAGCTGTGTACAAGTAGACATTGGACTTCGTCTGGCATGGCGTACGAGATCACGATCTTCCCTGTCATTGTGTTTTCTGTGACGTCCAGACCTCGGTGCATCCTTCACTTCACCGGTAGCAGTATGCTTACGTATCAGCCTGCATGTTCAGTTGTGCTCCAATAGCACGACATACCAGTCTGGTGCATACGAATAATTTGGTTCAGAGACACTGGACACTTGGGCATTTCACTTGTAGGTCAAAATAAAGCTTCATTTATGCCTACAATCAAATTTGAGCTGTGTCTGTCAACATAAAATAAGCCTAAAGGGGCTATGTGCATACTGCATTTATAGCAAACCGACTACCGGAACATGCATGCTTAAGGGAAGCATGCACGTGCAGCTCGGAAAAGGGTGTGTTTGTGATATTATGTCCACAGATGATGTCGTATATTACATATGTACTTGTAGTGTAAAAAAACCCCCAACATTATACTTCTACTTTGTCTTTTAAATGGGTGGTGCGATACTTTTGACGAGGTGTATATATTACAAAACACTTTCCATATTAATTCTGTTTTTAATAAAAGTGACACAAATTGAATCATGTCAGCTAGGCTTCACCTTTGGCTGGGAGTAGCAGCATAGTCGTTGATATCAGAGCCTTCGGTACATTCTTTCATGTATACAAGCATCTTGTGGTGTGGAGATTAGAGGCAAAACGTCATGATCTTATTCAGCGTGTATGTTATCGACGCCCTGATTCTTGAATCACGGGTCTGTCGTTAGGATCGTATTAAACAAAACAAGCTATCGTATTCAGAGTTTATGTAAGTTTGCCAAACTTCCTTTCGGAAATATAACGTTCTGTTGCACACCACTGTTTTGGAATTGGTATGTCAGCACACAGGCCCTCGTGTCTTTGCGAGGATTAAAGATTTTATAAAATATATTCAAAAATTTGAGATGACCCCCCGACTCGAAATGCTTCACAGTATAATACATTATGACATGATGTAATGTACTGTGAAGCATTTCGAGTTGGGGTCATCTCAAAACAATATTTTTAATCATTAATCCTCGCAAAGACACGAGGGCCTGTGTGTAAGCATGGTGGTTGCTCTCAATAGAGGTTGCACTCTAAAGACCTCAGTCGGATTTCTGGTTCCTCTTAATCCTGTCTGTTAGGTTGTAGTGCCACTAGTTTTGCTATCTCGTTGGTTACATAAAATGGGTAAAGGTCTTCCAGGACCCACAACGGGTGCGTATATACATATTAGAGAGAAACACCTTTGTCACCATCAGATGTAACTTTGTGCATGTGATATGTGGAGAAAACAAACGAATATCACCGTTCTAGAGGAATGAGTGAGTGATTTTAATTTTACGCCGTTTTAGAAACATACCAATCAAGTAATTGATATACTGAAAAGATATATTTCCATACGCTAGATCATTTCAAACTGAGATACGAAACATTTAGTCCCGAAACAGAAATAGAAACTTCTGACTGACGCCCATATGGATTCAACCAAAGCATGGAAATAGTTTGAACATAGAACATCAGTGCAAAAGAATATCCAGTCTTGACTATCACCAGAAACAAATTCTGTTTGGGTGCAAAAGGAAACATGACTGTGAACCTTGTATGATGGAAGACGATCAGCGATGACACACGTGAAGCTCATCCTATTACATGGCATATGTTTCGATATTTTACAGATGCTTCTTATTCTAGTGACTGTTGCTCACTGCAACATTCTACAAGAACCAACTTTTATGACGGCTGCAAGTCGATATGTTTGCTTGTGGATGAGACAATCCTGTGATCGATATTACGAGCACCGACTACACGCAAAGAACTTGATCTCGTGATCTATCTTACCAACTTTAAAGACATCAGTGCATGGCTTGGGGTTAATTCTGACCCGGAACCATAGCCGTCCTCCTTTATACACAATAGTACAAGTACTCGATTTCTTTAGGTTTTATATGCAATCTAGCGCAAGGGAATGTCGTGTGAGTGTTTTTTCCTGTTTAGCAAATTATAATATGTTATGTTAACATTTGCATTTATACATTTCTAAGAATCGCATTTATTGTTGTTAAAAATATTTTCTTTCCCGGAAAAACACTGATGAAATATACATTTTCCTGTAAATATTACCCTTACTTATTGCTATCATTTGATATTATTACTGATGAATAACATGTCTGACCATACCTGATTTAAAAACCAATGACGTTACATCGGCAATATTGCAGCCATATCGTGACGAGAACAGTTTATATCAATATTCAAATCAATAAATGTATAACGGAAAAACCTGTCATCGAAGGACAGTAAAAATACTACTAGTAGAGTATCACGGCTATATATATTTAAAACTAGTACGCTATCGTAAAATTAAATCACTATAGACAGTACAAAATAAAAACGGGCTATAGATCACCAACAACCGAAGGTAGATCACCATATTAGGGACCATGGGAACTTACAGTACCTTTGCTACCTGCATGGACCTAGCTGAATTTACACCATCCCTTCAGCCATTGGTGATTAAAGACAAATCTAGCCATAAAGTAAAAGCAACAAAAAGGTAGGAAAAATCACCGAAGATCAGTCCACAAAGAATACGTCTTCACGACTAGAATAGTATTCGATTAATTCTTATAATAACACACACATATTAGGCATTCAGTGTAGCATTACGTAACTCTAAGTTGATGCCGATGGTGATTTTCAATATGATTATTTCAAAGATGGCTGGTTCTATAATCCTATTTCTTGGACATTACGCTCATGTCTGGTAAAAACATACTTTTTGCGTATTCCCCGCAAAACATATTTTGTAAAAGATGTTAATGCCTAGTACCTCCTGATACTTTTAGAGGTGAAATGAGAAGAAAATTTTTGTGTGGCTCTATTTTACTCGTCAATAGGAATTATATAGAAATATACATTTGTAGGTGTTGGATGACAAATATGCTTCATAATGTGTAAATCCCGTTAACACATCCTGGCTCTCATCGGCTGGTATCAAAATGTTGCACCTCTAACTGGTGTGGCCATTAGTAGAATATGATCTATACCCTGACGTGGAAATATGGGTTGGGCTTGGTACAGCTGTGACTCACAGGTGCAAACGGTTTCATCCAAATAACTAATAACTGACATTTGAAAGGTCAGTGTTTTGTATGATTTTCATAGATTTTACACGAA